ATGAGGACAGCCCTGGGCCCATCCAAAGGGCTACAAAGGACTGAGATTACCAGCACAGGTCAGGTAAGAGACTCCCATAGGCACGTGCTGGGGACAACTTTACTACGAACAAGATGTGCTTCTGCTTAAGACTAGAACGATGTGCGCTCCAAATTAAACCAGGGAGTACTGCTCACACTTGACTGAGATTCATTAGTCACTGCCTCTCACCTGCATCCCCACACTTCTCAATAGCTTCTAGAACAGCTCTGATGCCAGGCAATAAACACCAGTTTTTATCCCAGCTCTGCTCATCACTCCCTGTATCAGACAGGAGAGAGGGAAGAAGGGCTGGACTGTCCCGTAGCCCACTTCATTGGAGAATAAGAGCCAAACTGACTTTGCATGATCACTGAGGTACCTATAAATACCAATTCTGGTACCTAAAGACACGCGCAGATCTGGGGAAACCTGCAGAGATCAGACACTTACATATGCCCACTCTTCTGCTTCATCCCACCAAAGAATACGGCTATGTGCGATTCTACTAATCTGTACTGGGTTAAAACATGGAAAGGAACCACCACCAGTCACAGGCAATCCCTACCCTTATTCTTTACCACCCAACAAAGCCTCCTCCCACATTCTGTAGAAATGGGGAAAAAGTAAACCAAGAACCTGGTTATCCCAAATCTATAACCCTTTTTGGACAACTTGCCCTCTCTCAGCATTGCCTTAGCTTTCAAGGCTCAGAGAACCACTACATCTGTAATTGTCAGAATTAAGTCCAATCAATCAAATTCTCAAAGGCCTCACAGTAACTCATAGAAGGTTTACATATATAAAATCGGCCAACAGTTGTCTTACCTTCTCCCCATTCCTCCCTCCTCCCCTCACAGTTTGAGCTGTTTGCTCTCAAAAATATAGTGACATTAAATAGTACAATATACTTACAGCCAGATACATAGCTGCATATATGCTTAGTGCTGCTTCTTTGGATGGGAATGTCTTTCTGGCTTTCATGATAAGGTCTGGATTTCCAGTACAGGCATGTACGCTACTGATGAATTGTGTATACTGTTTACATCCAAGTGCTGTATAGTTGGGTTTACAAAGTGCAAGAAAATGTGGTGCAAGATTCCCTGTTACTACTTGTCCAGCATTTACAAAGATGTCCGTAGCAAACAGTCCAAATGCGTAAATTCCTAAAAAGGGAAACAAAGAGTTAAATTTCCTGACAATTTCACTCCAGGGCAACATATTATAGTATTTATCATAGTAATATACCAGCTCCTTCCACTTAAGAACATGAGAAACCCTCGTGTATTGTACCCTAAAGATCCTGGCTCACGTTGGAGATGGTGCTTTCCTACACAACTGCAGCAGCAACACTGCAATGTACCCACACATCTGATCTCTCTCCATCCTTCGGAGGAGCACGATCACCTCTTGTGCAAGTAGCCCACTTTCCTAGGCCCCCTAGCCATGAATCTGTAGTGTTTGGGGTAGCTAGCTATACTGGTACCTAACCATGTTCACTAAACGGGAGTGACAGAGGCAAATTCTTCACCCTATAAATCTGCTTGAGAGCCAAGGAAGTCAGGCCCTGATGGAAAAGTAACTTGAAAAGTCATAACACATACTGGACAAACATTTTCTTTTCTTGTCCCTTGCAGCTGTAAAGAAGCTGAAGTACTGAATAATTCAATATTGCAATGCACAAGTGGTCTTCATCTGCCTGCTATTGGGTACATCTCTATGCATGGCATATTAATCACAATATCAACACAGTCAGCTAAAGATCTATATATTTGAGGAGCTACTTATGCTAAAGAGTTTTTTTTATCAGACATATTAGCAAAGCATTAAGCATGTGTACTCATTCATTAGAATGGAAATGCATGTATCTGACTACTTAAAAGAAAACAGATTTCTGCTATTCTGAGGTCCCTTTCTATCCTTTTGGAAGCAGAAAATGAGCTCTGGAAGGAAATGCAAACACAGCACCCTGACTGGGAGGCAAAGCCAGCAGGTGCGTGTTCAAACTCCACCTGAGCTACAGATTTCCTCCTATATTTCCATGGGCAAATCACCTTACCTTTCCCATACTTCAATTCACTGTGAATATAGCATGAGTTCTGGCAGTTCCCAACTTCATGGGGCACAATGAGGACTTTAATGGATGCACACCACAGCAGACATGATCCCACAGAAACATGTGCATTTCTAAAGGTCAGGTTTTTTCCTCAGCAAAGCTAGAGGACCGAGGATGATTTCTGGGATCCTGGCTGGTCAGCAACGTCACACTAACATTAATTCACCCTGAGCTGCTAGGCACTGGTGAGCAGCAGATTGTGCCTAGCTGAATTGCTGCACAGAAAGGCCCTTTCAGCAAGTCCCAAGGGTGTGCACTGCCCCAACACAGGTGGTCACATCATTTTGTGTGAGCATAATGGCTAGTGATGCCTTATCTGGTAGAACAGTGCAGAGGCCATTGTTCATCTCTTCCCTCTCTCCCAAATTCTTTTTGCTTCTGTGAGAAAGGAGGGCACACCAAGTGGGAAGGACACACAGCACTGATTACACACAGAGCAACTGGAGCAGGAGGACCTCCTTATCATCACTCCCCTGGATCTATGCAAGACAGTCTCATTCTTAATGACTTTTAGCACACCAGAGTGACAGCGAGCAATTGCACTCTCAGAAGGCAGGCACAGCTGTTACACAAACACTGCAAATACAGACACAGCTGCATATCCCCTCCCTCCCCCTGCGACTGGGGCACACAGGAGGATTAGCTGCCCCAAGGCTTTGTTCCTCCAGCTGTTTCTGTTAGATACAACCGTGAGTGAAAAGAAAACAACAGAATTGAGCCCTGCTATGGCATCCCTGCAAATACTGGAAAGCAGCATCTGGGAAAATTCATTAGACATTTTGCGTGGTGGTACTTCTCCCTCCAAACACACTTACAATGAACTAAGTAGAAAGGATGACATCTCATATCTGCTAAAGTCAATGGCAGAGTTACAGCTGACTTCAGTGGAGCATGGATTTCGTACAGTTTTCTACTAAAGACTATAATACAATCTCCAGGCTAAGAAAGTACCTAAACCTGGCTTGGCTTCAAACACATATTTAAATCCCAACGTCTTCAACTTTGGCTGCTATGTGTGTGTGTAACCAAAAGAAAATTATCAACTATAAATATGGCACAAGGGTATCTCCTTTCTCCACTTCACACTACTCCAGGCCTGCTGGTTGTTCTTCCCCCTTGTGGTCCCAATTTTTTCTATTTTTACTGCTGTTTCTGCAACCATTTTTTTATCCAAACTTCTAAGAAGCTTCATTTGCTACCCAAAAGGAGAGAAGTCACTGCACCTGAGTTAAGACTACACGTGAAATGTTGTATGGTTATCTGAGTATTTTCCCCAGGTCAAAATTAAGACATAATTGATCAACTCTCACCATTCAGAAAATGAAAGCATTAATATTGCTCATACCAAGGAATCTGATGGTCCTGCGCACCAGTGGATTTATATAACAACAGTCTCCAGTTAATATTGTTTTTTCTTGGTTTTCAAAATCCTTTGTAGCTAACTGTAGACAAAACACTGCAGTTTCTCCAACGATAATCTTAGGGAAGGAGAAAAAAGGGGAGAGAAATAGTACATCAGATTACAGCAAGTAAAATATTACAGAGATGGCTATCTCATCTTAAGGAAACAAGACCAAACCAGCACAAAAGACAACATAAGTGAACCAAGTTCTGTACGTTAATCTTCTTATGAGGGAAATATGCCTTACGGCTTGCTTTTCTCTATTTGCATTAAAAGAGAATAAACTTCTATAACCAGGACTTGGAATCAACATAACATAACCTAGTTTTCAGGATGAGGGGAAAGAGAAAGAAATCTATTCGTTCAAGAACAACAGATTGCATAATGCACAAGATGTAGACCAAAGTAAAGGCCTAACCCTGGAAGATGCTGAACTTTTCAGTTCCCACGTGACTTTCACTGACACTCAGCCCTTCACAGGGTTGAGCTCTAAATTTTGGACCATGATGGGGGAGAAAAAATTAAAAAAAGAAAAAGAAAAAAAAAATTACAACAGAGCTCCTGTTCACATCAGAGGATTGGTTTGCCAGGAGGTACTTTACAGGGCTTGATTCATATTTTGCCAGCTAAGTTTATGAAGTCTGGCTTTAGCTTTGTTCCTCATGCTTGAACAAAGTGTCACCACTGTTATTTTAACATTGAGCATGACCTGTTTAACATTCATTACACCAAAATGAATAAAGTTTTCATGTCTATAGATCATTCATATTACAGTTGGTAAAAAATAAAAAAAACCCCACAAATAAAAAAAAGAAAAATATAGATTTTTGAATGTAAAATATCCCCTCTAAGATGTGTGTTTACCTGTCCAGCAAAACATGACCTTTAATTTATTCATGACAACTATGGTATTGAGACTTAATAGCCAAGGCCAAGCCTTAAGAATGTATCTGTCTAAACCTATGATACTGAAGCTTTATGGCAGGTAGCACAGATATGATCAAAAAGAGTAGAGCAGAACGGTCATATACTGATCACTGTATTCCAACTTTGATTCACTGTGGGACTTAAAGGCTAGGCCCTTCCACTCTTCTATATGAAAAGCAGTAATGCTTATGGATAGGTACATCACACTTTGATAAACAGGAATGAAGACCAGCAAACTGAAGTCTTAATACTACACAAATACAAGAAATAATGCCATCAAGTGTGATTCATTGTCTAGGTTTTTCTAAACCTTTGACCTAACAGGAAATTATAAACCTTTTCATATATCACAATAGGTCTGAACAGTTCTACACACAGCACTGGTTACAAAAAACAATAAAACAAAACAAAAAAACAAACTACGGGCAATGGCTCATAAACACAGTTTGTTGTCAACAGGAAGAATGCAATTAACGACCTTAGTTATTTGTACACAGATGAAACAGATCTACACAGATGACTTTGGGCTAAATTGTGACACTCAGAGGAGGAAAGTGCTTCTTATAAATAATGTGACACAAATAACAAAAATAACTGTGGTGGCAAGCATGTAAAAAAGCAAAATTCAGTTTGTCACAGAAACAGTCATCATCTATTACTTTAGACTGACTTCAGATCCTAGTGGAACTTTTAGATGAAACAGAAATTTCAATACCCGAACTAACAAGTATCTCTCTCTACTTTGATGCAAGCAAATTTTCAGCATACTGAAGTACAACTCCTTCACCTATAATTAACAAATGATCAGTACACATATGAAATATAACTAAACCTTGAATTCAAGGTCATCAAAATTGTGACAATGATAAGGAGAATTCAGCCCAATGACCTCTATAGCTCTCATGAAGCAAACAAACACACAGTTTTAATATGATTCATAAAGGTGAGAACTGAAACACTACGATTTTTACTGAGTCACAGTAACTCCCTTCTTTCCTCTGGAATAATGAAACATCAAGGACTAGGCAACCTGAACACAGTCAGATTCTGCATTTAACTGATTTTTTTTGCCAAATTCAATAAATTTCAGTAAAATTATTGCAGATTTCCAAACTCCAGGAAAAAGCAGAATCCAGCAGAAGGGAAGCATCTGTGATATACAGTGCTCAACCTTTTGCAAGAACACAGAGAGAAAGTGTGCCAGCAAGCTCAAGTCTCCAGCTCTGAGCAGAGTCTCTGAATTTGCTGATCTAGGAATACAGGTTCTTTTTTTTGGTTGGTAGGGAAGCTGGGGTTAGCAAATGGGAGAACTGCTCATTCAATTATAGGAAAGGAGATCCTCACTTCCAGCAACCTGTCTTAATCAGCTGCATCTAGGTCCTTGCTGCTGGCACATTGTTACATTTCCTTGTTACATTTCCTGTCTTTGATGGTGACCTGGATGAAGAAAACCCTCTGCTCCAAGAATAGCAGGGAGCAGTGTTCAAGTTCTTAGCTGAATAAAAATACTCTTAGAGTGGGTACATAGGTGCAAGGGTCAGAACGATGCAGAACTCGGCTCAAGACAAAACTTTTGCTATACTAGGCCTAGTGCTCTACCCTCAGAAGTAATCAGAGTGGGATATGCCATTGAGCATAACAGGCATTCATCTCTACACTTCTGTGGCTCTACTTTGACAGAATTCTTCTGGAATTTGGCAATAAATACAGGTTCTGTATTTTTCTGTACTGACAGCTCGGCTAAAGCTGTTCTCCTTCCTCCACCCTTCAGCACAAGCACTGCTCTTCTCAATAATCAGCCTACTGATGTTTCAGAAACAGAAGGAAAATCTTTCTCAATCTCGGTAAGTCCCCGGAGAGATTCTGTTTCCCACTGCAATTCCTTCCCCTTCTCTCCAGCACCACTGGCAATAATCAGCTCTACAGGGTAGAGGAAAGGGAGGGTGATCTCCCTCTTGCCCTTACCATAATTTGCATGCCTGGTATATTCCAGGAAGGAACAATTTCTGTATTCCCTCTGGCACAAGGACCACCATTACCCCTTCCACTGCATATGCGAGTTGCAACCAGTCAAACAAATGACATTTAACATAACAGAATTACTTGTGTACTTCTTGGCTAAGTCTTGGGGCAAAAAGTTTTTGGAATATTCCTAAACTGACAGTGAAGGATTGCAATGGAGAATCATAAACTTTTGGACAGAGCTACACAAGTTCAGGTATAGAAATATAATTTGCAATGAAAAAAGTAAGGATATTTTACCTAATTCTGTCTAACAGCGTCATACTACTTTAGATCACTGTACAGATTTCCTGAAGAATGATATATATTAAAATTGTTAGCTGACAGATATTTTAACAGCTGTTAAAAGCAGAGGCCACCCTTCCCTAAGGCTGAGAAAACCTTCTGACATATAATTACAGCATGTAGCGTATAAGGAGAAGAACAATTTTCACCTGAAGACTAACAATACAAAGTGCAGGCTTTCCAGTATTCTAAAGAACATATATAAAAATAATTTTCACAGTCCTTAGATGAAAATGCAGTGTACATAACTGTTACAAGAAGGAGCAAGACAAGAATGATCGCCCTATGGGCATCGACCTAAGCTCTGACAGGCAGTGTATCAGGTCCTTGTTCTACTACAGCTTCCCTCTGTAACCGCTGGGAAGGCCCTTAGTCCTGGTTCACAACATAAAGCGTATAGGAACAATACAAAAATCACCCTACATAAAGATATTTAATATTAATACATACTTCATAACTAGCATGAGATTTAGATAATCCTTTCTTTTTATGGAAACATGGAAAAGAAATATTAACCCAGCAAAATCTAAATTACAGGAAAAGTTCTCATAACCATCTCCATGGCAATCGTATACTGTCTGTGATGTGACAACCCATTCGACAGCCAGGAACAGAGTTTGGGAGGGGTGAGATCTAAAATTAGTATTTCTTCTTGTTTCACCTCTTAGCTCCTGATTAATTTATTAGCTGATTGATTTTCACGCTGGTTTTGTGCTAGTAGTGTATTTATTGTCAACCACCCAATACCTGTCCCCTTCCTTGTTTTCTGTAGAGGATACTTAACAGCGTTTAGCACACATTCCCTACAC